ATTTTCAAACTGTTTTATTGTGCTTTTTGGTTCGGAGTTTGATGGATTAAAAAAACCAAACAATTAAATGGCACCTACCAAACTGGTTGGAATCTTCTAAATATAAAAAACCCTTAAAGAGCCCTTAATTTTTCAAGAAATCTTTTATTTAAAACTACAACCTTATTCCCTTTACTTTTTATGAGCTGTAGCACTTAGTTTCCCAGGGCATGGGGCATGTACATCATTCAGATATCTGAAATAATAAAGCAAGCAGCCATAAAAATACCCTTTAAGCCAAGTTGAAAGTAGAAAGAAGAAATGATTAAGTTAATAATCTATTATAGGAGCTGAAGACTAAGGGGCATACTTTAAAATATGTAAAACTGGAAAGAGAAAGAGAGGATAGGGAAAGTCAAAAGTTCAAAAAGCTAATAAAATCATTTACACTTTTGTATATTGGGATGAATACATAAAAAAATACATTTGTGTTGGGATTTAGCACTATACATGCTACCGTCATGCATATATGTGGCACCTCCTGATTTTTCTCTGTGTGTGGTGAAGATGTGTTGATGCACGCTTTGCTGTGATGAGATGAGATTAGTTGTGGTTTTTTTTGGAGGCCACCTTAAGTTGCAGGAATGATAGATAGGAACGTGGGAACTCTGATTCAACACATGGTCTCAATCATTACACAAACTTTAACAATGAAGAGGAGATGTTATTAAAGCCCTTCATCATTAAAAAAACAAAATTTTTAATTAAACAGTTATGTTTGATTGATCCCCACTTCTCATTCATTCAGTTTGCTACATAAATAATAAAAAAAAAAAACTATAATTAAGGTTCAGTATATATAGAAAAAAATTCTTCTGAGTTAGTTCCTCTTGTAAAACAACACAGCTTCCTATTACCTCAAAGATAGTTATACAGATAGGCAATCTTCTGCTATGCTGCAAAATCTGTGTCTCAACATCAGCCAGAGTGCTGAGAGTTTCTAAGACTTTCAAAGCTGTTGGGCAAACAAACCCCAGAAGCTGAATCAAGTCATGTATTTATAGATTATCACAGCGTGCCACCCAGAAAACAAAGCGCTCTGTTCTCTACGGCTGTGATGGGATGATAAAACCTTCCTTTCGCTCTTATCTGAGACAAAAGTGCAAAAACAGAAAGGCTTTGACTTATTGTGATTTAAATAAACTATGAAAGCTAAAGTTTCTACTGAACCACAACAACAAATAACCGAATACTACAATAAGGTGTCACTGGCATTTATTTTATTTAAGAAAAGGCAGAAGAGCATTGTTAAAATGTTCTTTCCAAAGATAAAAAATAAATAAATCTACCAAGTTTGACAAGTTGCTCTTGTTTCCTCAATTGTTAGATGAAGAAAAACCTGTACTTGTCATTTTGTACAGTTCAATTTTTCACCCGCCCACTATTTTTATATTTTCAAAGGTCCTGTCACATATATTTAATGTTTGTTTAGCATGTTTGTGGAGATCTAAAACCTTAAAGCAAAGAAATAACAAACAAACCAATGAAAAAAACATTTTCTTTTCCCATGTTATGGAACCTAGACAGGATCAACCCTCTAATGTAAAAAATGAAGTTAAAGCTTTTACAAAGTGAGTTTGTTAGATCATTTGAAACAGTACCCATATTTATATGGTATAACTCTGTTCATTACTAACATATAGTATCAAACTAATATAGCAGTGTTTTATACTTGAACACATGCAAAATGTCTCTGTGCAGAATTAAGGCCCGATCTACTAACACACCAAACAAAGAGCACTAAACCGTTCATGCAGAATAAACAAATGCATAAATAAAAGGTACATGCAATAAACAGCTGTGTTGTAGGTGATTTAATATAGTTGCATGTGTAGTTGAACATTGCATGTGCAGTATTTGTATATGTAGTTGATTACAGGTGCAAAAAGTGATGCAGACCACTCTATTTAAATGAGGATTTTGCATACGCTACTGGCTGTCACTATGGATGGTTTACATGGCCAAAGGCAGCTGCAGTATGCCACAGCATTCCGTATATATAAGGTGTGGTCTTAATGTGATAAACATGCAGGCAGTGAAGAGAAATAAATAACTAAATAATCAGGACCTATCCACTATAAGATAATATGGTAAATATGCTTTTGGCATCTTGATTTTCAACTGACAACCACTGAAGGTCATCATGTCAATTTCTGAAAGTGATGTTATTTAGATACTTCCTTCTCTCTCAAAGACCATTTTAAAGTTATTACTTTAAATAAGTGCTGGAAAGGAAAGGGGGACAAAATCTTAAATCTGTTTAAGTACATCAACAATAAGTTTTTATTGATTTAAATCAAATACATCTGATATTTTTGAGCCACTTAGCTGCAAGGTGGTTGGAGAGAAGAGATAGTAAGTAAAACTTCTTCTTTATTTCCATCTCCTGTAAAGAATATTATAGTAAATGCAGGCAAAAAAAAAAAAACAACAGCAACAAAAAAAATAAAATAAAATAAGAAAAAAAACCATGTGTAATCTGTACAGCCCTGATAGAAAGACAAATTAAAGGCTAGTGGGAAATGCACAGGTCTACATTACCTGTATGTGTCCACACTAAACTGATTTGTACTTCTCCTGCCCGTACGTCTCACAGACATACATCTCACACTCAGTGCATGTCTTAAGAGGAAGTAGTGTTTTATTTAATTTATGTCTACATTTTACCCTAAAAACACTGGAAATCTCTTGTTCACCCATAAATAAAGCGTCTTTAAGTTTAGTCAAAATGAGCTGTGTTAACTTTAAGTTTGCGCTTGTAAAAAACAGCCCCTTCAGTCAAAAGCTATAAAAAAGTGATCTCTACTTATAACCTGTATTTTTTTTTGGACTTGCTCCTGTTACTGGTGACTTGATATAGAAATACGGCATATAAAACTGCAGCAGTCTGTTAAACGTATTGGGAAACATTGCTTCTGCAGTAATGAAAAGGGTGGGCACACCTTTGGGTGGGTGCAGCAGTTTAAACCCATGGAGGCCTTGACCACTGACAGCCGGATGGCATCACTGCTCAGGACTCATTTCTAAACTGTTATTTGGTCTAAAAAAGATGCAACATGTGCTAAATGCTGCTGCTCTAAGGGAAGATTCTTTAGAATCATCTGGCTGAGAGAAACATTTTCTGGTCATTTTTAGCATTAATGAAAAACTTTTTTTGTATTCATGAAATGGGATCAAATTACTTCTAAGTACCTACATCAAGCTATGCAAAAGAGAGTATGTTATCTAACAAATGTAGTTCTTTATTAATATAAATCTGTTCCCGAAAGCTCAATCCCGGCAGTCTGTGTTGTTGACTTGAGACTTTATGGCACTGAGCTTGCTTTTTTCTAATCCATAAATCCATTTCTCTAAATTCTACAGTGATTTGTCAGTTGCTATCCATTAAAAAGTGTAATTAAAAAAAAAAAAACATTGAGTCTTTTTAGTATCTAAACCAGAGGTCAATAATTAGTGGACTGCGGTTCGGATCCGGACCCAACTGCTGGCTAATCCAGACCCAACCTGATTTAAAACATTTATAAATTACCGTATGTTGTCTGACGACAGTGTCTAATTTCACTTGCGGCGCTTTTCCTGTTTGTACGGTAAAACCCTCCGGGACTAGGCTGCATGTGATACAAATTAGCCAATGAGCTGTTTCAGTCTGGGTTGCTGCTGCAAGCTACTTTTAGACACAGCAGGCAAACCTGTGGCAAGCCGGGTGATGGGAAAGAAGGAGAAGATGATGAGAAAAAGTGAAAGAAAGTGTGGACTGCTGGAAGAACCGCGGGGAACTGGTGACAGAAAAGTGAAATGGCATGCTCAAAGATGACCCTGTACATTTTGAGTATGTTTGGCTCAACCTACTGCTGTGAAGCAGGATTCTCCACCATGAACATAATCAAAAATAAATATCAATCCAGATTCAAAATGAGCAATTTGATATGTGCTTGAGAATGGCTTTGTTGCCATTAAAACCCAGGTTTAAAGCCTTGCAGGGCAGCATAAAGCCCACTGCTCTCATTAAGCCAGAAAAAGAAAAAAACGGTCAGTTCAGGTGTGTCATAAAATATGTAAATCAGGAAATTGTCTATATACCAAACTGAACGATTCTTGTTCTCTATTTCAAAAACACTTTAGATTTTAAAATGTAAAAAAAAAAATCTTTTTTTTATATTTTTAATTTAAAAAGTCAGTGTATAACATGGATGCATAAACACATAATTTTATTTCACTGTCAAATTCTGTTTAAAGTAACAGATTATAATTTAAAATGTCTCTGTACCTTTAATGGTTGTTGATTTTCTTTATTTGGACTCCACTGATTTTTAATGGTTACCCCTGATCTAAACTATCATTTCCTGAGGCCTGGTTAAATTCTCCATTTATTGCACAAATGAATTTCTCCAATTCCACCATGAGCTGTAATTATGAGTTAATCTTAAGGATGATCCTGCAAAGATGGCGGAATGGAAAGCGCAAGAATCTCCACCTGACATCCCTCCTTGAGAGGGCACAGCTTGAGAAATGCAAGAACAAGAAAAAGCTGGCTAATGTTGCGTACTGCTGTTTTTTCTTTTTTTTTTTTTTTTTTCTAAATGAGGAGCGAAGTCTGGTGTGTGTACCAGCAGGTGTTGTTCTCCTGCAGCGGACTCAGCCCTCAGCTCTCCCACTGCGGCTGGTTATTAATGGCTACAGATTCATTACAAGCAGCCAGTCAGCCATGCTGACTGTACGCCCAACACTATTAGTCACACTCCGCCCGATAGATACATATGCAAGAATGCTTAAGATTAATACAAAGTGTCTAACTTAAACATACAAACACGGGTCTTTGTACAGGCTCATGAGTTTTACTAAGACACATTAGGTGCAATGTAAATAATAAATATTGCTACTAATCTTGTACTCTTGTTTCTCCCTTTTTTCTTTCACCTGAATCCTTTTTCCTTGACTCTTCTTGGATGGTCTCCATTCAGAGGACATCTTTATTCTACATGGGAAAGACAAGAAGAATCCTCTCATCTATGGCCTGTTCACAACATCAAGGTATTGTTTTTATAATGCAAAAATAATAGTAGTGGAGTCCTGTTTAATTCTAATTTATATACATCCTGACACACGTGCTGTAGGGGTTTTAAATGAAGTGTGGTGAGCCATTTGTCTTCCTACACAGGCAGAAAAAGAAAACCTGAGATTTATCAGGTCTTTATGAAGATAACGGGAGATTTATATTCAAGCTTTGCTGCAATAGTTTATGGGAGTAAAGCTTGTGTGTCAAAGTGAAGAAAAAGTTTCCAAAAAGATGTAGGAAGTAAAAGAATGAAACTAA